CCCACGCGCCCCGCCGCAGGCGTGGCCGCCAAGCGCCGCCAACGCCGTCGTAAAGCGTCGCAAACAACGAGCCGCGCGTGCGCCGAGAGCGTCTGCCGTCAAGCGAAGCGGGGAAGATGGCGGCGCGGTGGGCAGTGGGCGCGGGTAAGTTTGAGGGGACGGAGCGGAGCGGTGGTTTTGAGGTTCTCGCCTGTTTTGTCCTTGCTTATTCTGCTGCTTCCTTGCAGGTGGTGCCTGGGTGCGCGGTCTCCTTGGCTGGGCGCGGCCGGAGAGGTGAGTCTGGCTTTGCCTGGCCCTGGAGAAGGGGCGCCCCGGCGGCGCCCCTGGCAGCGGGACTCGGGTCGCCTCGCTCGGGGAGGCTCCGGGTCTGGAGGCTCTTCGAGTCGCCTGTCTCGGCCTTCTCGCTGGCTTCTCGCTCTGCCCCGGGGCTGTGGGGAACAGGTCGCTCCGTGCCTCTGTCTTTCTCATGTACTTGGAGACTGGGGCATGATGGAGGCGTCTGTCTTTCTCTCCTGACCTCTTTCTGTCGGGCGTCCAGATTTCCTCCGGTTCTGTGGTGCAGGTTAGAGTAACGCAGTACCTGTAGCTCTGCTCTGTGTTCTACCGCAGTCGTTGCTCTTCTGTAGTTGCTGGTCTTTCCCTTCAGTCTGGAGAAACGACAAAGTTGTGCCAGGGGAGCGTTGGTCACTGCTGACTGTATCACTGACTTAAAGGCTAATGAGGATTCTCAAAGTGCAGAGCTTTGGTCTCTGCTAGAGCCTGTGGAGGTAAATTGCAGAGGCCTGTGTCACTGAAGGAAGGAGAAACAGGCTTGTGTTGCCTGTGCTTTGCTTACTGCCTTGCAGGTGAACAGAGTTACATGCTAATCACTTGTTTTACTCAGTTCTTCTAGTCTGTATGTCTCCCATTTAGTGCTTATATGTGATTCTTTCTAGAAAGGTGCTTAGCTCTTTTCTTTTTGCTTCCTTACCCATATATAATGTACTTCTGTTTGTTGCTTATCACTGTTTTCTTTTGCTTACAATGCGTTTGTGTCCTCTTTCTTTTCCTAAAGTTATGATAGAGTTGCTCCTCACGTGAGGTTGGATTGCCTTAAGTAGAGGGAATGTGAGACTCCTTAGGTTGTTGAATGTATTAATGTCTTCTGCTAATATCAAGAAGACAATCCTTACTTCATTACTAATTAAGTTATTAAATTGCAAAATTATACTCATGTGATTGTCAAATATTTTCCTGTATTAATTGATAATATTATGCTTGGTGATGATGATTTGTTGTCTTGATGAGTAAAATTTTTAAGTATTAAGCAAATAAACCACTTTTGGTAAGTACCTGAAAAAACATTCCATAACACTTAAACTTGTATATTATGCTACCCTCTACTGATAGGATGTGAAAACTTTAAGGTGTACAATGCCCTCTTAAAACTACTCAGCGTGTTTTGTTTGCCAGTCATTTTTAAAATGCTTTTTAAAGTTTGGCTACTCACACAGAGCTGTTCAAGCCTTACTCATGGTATCTGGTCTTGAACTCATCTGTTTCTTGTAGCTATGAGCAACTGCCCAGTACTGCTTTAACTAGTCAGTAGGGGGCAAAATATAGCTTGGTTTTTCTGAATGTGAGGTGAGTTAACTGACTGAAAACTGGAGTGTTTTGCCATCAGCTGTCTTATACTGACTTGATTGAATTTTGGAAGTCATTTAGTACATCTTCCCTTTCAAATATCAGAGGGGATGAATGTTTATAAACTTCTAATACTTTTAGTACTCAATCCCTTGAAAAACTAGAAGTTTTTACTGCTGAAAATTTTGTTGGTAAGAGTTAAATAAGTATTGGCTAGTCTTGGAAAAGATGATAATTATTTGTGTGGGTAATGAACCCCACATAAGAACAAAGAGGTGATTGTGTCTGTAAGTGTCCCCAGATGGTCACACAATGTGGAACCTCATGCTGTACAAATGTGAGTTATGCTTCATGGTTTGCTTTAGGAAGCCTGAGGCTTCTTGTTGAATTAAAAAGCCCTTTCAACGTAAACTATAGAGGACTTGAACGGTTTTGTGAGTAGTCACATGTCAGCTGTCTTTATCAAGACAGGTAAGTTCACAACTTTCCAGATAAAATGGGCAGGGATGAAGAACTGTATTCAGCAGCAAAGGCTGTCGTCTTGTCTTGCAGGTGGCTGGCATCTGGTAGCCTTTTTCCTCTGTCATGCATCCACACAAGTGCATCTCTGCAGAAGTTTGGGAAGTGGGAGAAAAAGAACAGGATTGTTTACCCTCCACAGCTGCCCGGAGAACCTCGCAGACCAGCTGTAAGGATATACCTGTAGATTTCCTTACCTGCTTATGTTTAGCAATTTTAGATTGTCACTGTCTCTGGGTGACTCCACAAGGCGCTAGTTTGGTAGCTTATTCTTTTGTTATTTAAGATTTTATTCAGTTTGGCATACTTATAGAGTAAAAGTTAACATAATTTTCAATGTTTTCTGTTTCTAAATTATATTGGAGCTTCAAGCTGCTTGTAGCGGATCATCTACCTAATGTGTGATGTGAACTGCAAAGGTGCTATCCTCTGTTTGTAGAAGTCTCTGAACTATAAGGAGGTAGAAGTTACCAAAGATGTATCTTTATACACTTGTCCTGACAGTAAATAACTAGAGAAGAACGTGATTGTATTGTTGCTTCTGTGCCCAAATTTCTAAATGTGACTTTCCTTGAGTAGTGGAACTAGTGGTGCCTGTTTGATGTAGGTACGATAGAGTGCATGCTCTTTTAATTTCTTAATTACTCTGCACTATAGATTCTCTGGTGTCTGATAATGCATGGTCTCCCCTTAATGAAGTTATTCAGAGGTTGTTTTCTGTCAGAGTGGTTGCTTGAAATGTTTCATGTGGACTGAGAGGTTCTAAAGTTAGGTGGGAGGGACGTACGAGTCAGATGTGGCATATGATTACAGTTTTTTTTCTTAGGAAACCATTTTATACTGTACAGTGGGGATGTTTCTTCAGTCTATTGCACAATAGCTTGTGTTTTACTAAGCCATAAACTGAAGCAAAGAATCTAAAATCCTTTTGTTACCTGTATGCTGAGTGTAGGGCCTTCTGGCTGTTCAAGACAACTTTTGGAGAAGTCACCATAAGTAACACTGTCAATTTTTTAAAATGTGGTCATAACAGATTAGTTTCTGCTAACAGCAGGTTTATGCCAGTTTCTTCCCATCCCCTCTTATTGATCATTTTATAACTGGGAAGAACAGTTAAATGTGAACAGAAGCAAGCCTCTTAACTTTCACATGTGACTTAATTTAAGAGTTGTGTATTTGATTACTGAAGGGACTGATCAGTGCTGCTTTCTCTACACCACAGCCTGGGAGAATTTTAGGTGAACTCCCGTATTTCCTCACTCTCAAATTGATATTTTGGAATTCCGTTTTCGTAAATGTTCTTCACTGGGAATTAATGTGTTGTGGTCTCTGTTAGGCATACTGCTCAGCAAAGTAAAGTATTTGGATCTCAAAAGAATGGGGTGGTTTTGGACGTGTGCTTTTGTGGGCCATGAGCATTTATCACTTCTGTGAACATTATGGCCTAGGACATAGAAATACTTGCTGTGTACTGTGCTGACTAATGCAATGTATGTGAAAATGCAATTACTGACCAACTCGCTTATTAAATTGGGTCCTGCACTAGGATCACAACAATGCCACGCAACGGTACAGGCTTGGGGAAGAGTGGCTGGAAAGCTGCCTGGCAGAAAAGGACCTGGGGGTGTTGGTTGACAGCCAGCTGAATGTGAGCCAGCAGTGTACACAGGTGTCCAAGAGGGCCAACAGCATCCTGGCTTGTATCAGGAGTGGTGTGGCCAGCAGGAGCAGGGCAGTGACCGTGCCCCTGTCCTTGGCACTGGTGAGGCCGCCCCTCAAATGCTGGGGTCAGGGTTGGGCCCCTCCCTCCCCGAAGGACAGGGAGGGGCTGGGGCTTTTGCCCAGAGAAGGGCGGTGCGGCTGGGGAGGGGTCTGGAGCCCCAGGCTGCTGGGGAGCGGCTGGGGGGGTTCAGCCTGGAGAAGAGGAAGCTGAGGGGAGACCTTACCGCTCCCTACAACTGCCTGACAGGAGGCTGTAGCGAGGTGGGGGTCAGTCTTCTCCCAAGTAATAAGTGATAGGACAAGAGGAAATGGCTTAAAGTTGTGTCAGGGGAGGTTTAGATTGGACATTAGGAAAAATTTCTTCACCAAAATGGTTGTCAAGCACTGGAAGGGGCTGCCCAGGGAAGTGGTTGAGTCCCCATCCCTGGAGGTGTTTAAAAGATGGGCAGATGAGGTGCTTAGGGACATGGTTTAGTGATGGGATGGCAGGGTTAGGTTAGTGGTTGGACTTGATGATCTCAAAGGTCTTTTCCAACCTAAATGGTTCTATGAAAGAAATTATTTCACAGAATCATTTACCTGTTCATAAAGAATGCCATCTCTTTGCAATTTGTATTGATGTTAAATTTCACTAGCTAGTTTTGGTCCCTGTTGGTACAGTAATAATGTTAAATGGGCCTTTGGAGACAGCTCTTCCTGCCAATCAAACTTGAAACCCTCTTTACTTCTGAAGAGCTAATTAAGTTCATTCTGGTAATATTGTTTAATTGCTATCCCAGTAAGTTGACTTGACAGCAGAGTAATGTTTTTAACACTGAATGGGCTGCTTCAAAAGGGGGGGAGGAAGAAAGGAAAAGATGATGAAAAATTTTCTGATTATCCTTTTCAGGGACTTCTGTTTATAAACTAATTCTCATAAGATTATATTAAACTTTTCTGTGTGCTAGCTACTTTTTTTATAATGTTTTCAGTTGCAAATGTCAAAGGTATGTTCATGGTATAACAGGGGAGACATATTTCTTTTATTCCTAGTAAAAATACAGATTGTGGAGCAGACGTGTGCTCCCCTCTTGTTTTCACAGCAAAATTACTGGTCCTCTAACTTTTTTTTGCACCTAGGAAATATATCACTGTCGGAGGGAAATAAAATATAGCAAAGATAAGATGTGGTATCTGGCAAAACTGGTAAGCAAAAAGTACTTTGTACTCTATTTGTTAGAATGCAAAATTTAATCGCTTTATTTGCCTTAACAGCGTAGTTCAATCACAGTCGTTGTTTGTAGTTTGGTTTAGCTGCTTTATCCTAGTATGCTCTCAAATGTGTACTCAGGATCATATACAGATTATGCACTGTGAAGAATTTTTGTGCTGGTTTCTGCCTAGTAGTAGATGGTAAGGGGAGCTTGGAAGGATAGTAACGGGCTATTTCTCAGAAAAAAAAAAGAAAATTTTATCAAGATGTATTCAATAATAAGCTCAGATGTTCTGTATGTAAGATACTACATTGAAGAAATGGTAATTAAGGAAACAGAAGTCTTTTGATTTGCTCTTCATAATGGCAAAATAATTTAAATACTGTCTTCCCAGTAAGAGAAGGGAAATACTTGTAATTGCAGAAGTTAACTTTAACTCTTTGATTGCAGATAAAAGGAATGTCCATTGATCAGGCTCTTGCTCAGTTGGAATTTAATGATAAAAAAGGAGCAAAGGTGATCAAAGAGGTATGTAATAGTATTCTTTAATACTTCTAGTTTAAAAAAAACCTTTAAAATCCATAACTATTGTCAGAAGTTTGGAGATGTTTCTATTTCTATGATGTTTCTATTAAGACTGTTTGGAGCGTATTCAAACAACATATTTTTGTAGCTGTCACGTAATGTTGTGACTTTTGCATATGCAGAGGTCACTTGGGCTGGTTGTTTTAACTTGTAACAACAACAAATTACATGTGGGTACCCTCTCCAACAAAGCTTGGTGTTAAGTTCTTGGTAAATAATGCAGAATCCTCGTCACTAATGGCTGCTACATCTATATGCTTTGGTTCTTAAAATCATAAGAGATGAAAGATGTCATCAGGGAAAGGACTGAGTTCTGTGAAGACATGAAAGCTTTTCATACACGGTAGTTGTTAAAGTCTTAAATTACTCATTTTCTTGTCCAAAGCATTGATTTCTGGCATAATAATGACAAAGACAGTATCCTGTATTAGCTGAAAATATTGAATGGACCAAGTTGATTTTGCCCACCTTGGAATTTGTTTCTAGTCTGATGTCTAGTTAGACAAAGGTCCGTGGATGGAAGGCTGACAAGTGCTGGTGGGAACCATCTTTTCCACTCCCTGTCCTCCAGAAAAAATGTAATAAAGTTGTCCTGAAGCTTTTCAGTCTGTGTGCAAAGAACGTGCTTATGTAAAAGATGTCCATCTCTTAACAATTTTGATCTCTTCTATAGAATACTTCTTCTGTAACTGACTTAAATTTGCAGGTTGTTCCATGTTGTCTTGAGATAAGAAGTAGCATTATTTAAATTCCTACTCAGTATTTCCATTTATTTTCTTTTTGTTACAGGTTCTGTTAGAAGCTCAGGAAATGGCAGTAAGAAATCACAACGTGGAATTCAAATCAAATTTACATATAGGTACATTTTTTTTTTTTCTTATTTTAGTGCAGAAAAATGTCATCCTACGTGCTTCCAACATATGCAGCACAACTGAAGTTAGTGTGGTTGTTGAGCCTTCAGCCACTGGTTTGTTATAGTAGTTGCCTGACTGGTGGTGGTCTGGCATCTGCTGGATACGTTGTTTTTAAGATGCATTCATATGAGTGGAGTTTCTGCTCCCTGTGTGAAAAGAGGAAGTCCTGAAGGGAAAGATGCCTGACATGATTGTGAAAGACTAGACAACAAAAAGCAAACTGTTACTGCTTTTTAATGTTGCTGGTGAACATAGATGGTGGAAGCTTTGTCCGTGGCTAGTACTACTAGCTTTGCAGGATTGGAATTGAAACTTCTGTTAGAAACAGTATAGAAGTAAAGGAATATTGACAGTAGACTTCTTAAAAAGGCTTTCTTATAGGTGATTACACGATAAGCTTGGAAAAACTACAGCACTTTCTTACCTAGAAAAATGTTAGAGAAATGTTAACTTGTAGGTGGTTTTAGGCCCAAAGCAAAAAATTCCCATTTTGCCAAATATGGTATAAATGTTTTTAAGCTGACCTCAAGCTTAAAGTAACCTGGATTGTATAGCAGACTTGATGAGAATTCTTTGGAGCCTCTGCCATAAGAAGGTTTATCTGCTAGTGCAGGACTGGATGTGTAGATAATGAAAATACCTATGATGAATGCAGTAAAGGGAGGAAGGAGGGAAAATGAAGGCTGTAAGACTTCTGCAGGAATCCGAGACAAACTACTGAAAAGCAATGGAATTGATACCACCTTCAGGAGAGCTATATAATCTAGTAAGTGCTCAGTGTAGCTTCCGTTTAATTTGTCCTTTACTATATTTTTATCTTTGCATGCTTTCTAAATTCACCTTTTTGGTGCTCCTGAAGAGTGTTAATTCAACTCACGGGTTCTTCTGTAGCAGTAATCTGCTAAATGTAATAGAAGAAAGATGGAGGAGAGAATCCCAAATAGAATTAACTTTTCATATTCAGCCATGAAAAATACACTGACAAGACAGTATTTCATTTGCAGATGTGTAGTGTTTATTCTTGACTGAATAGTCTTCTCTCTGCCCCCCTCCCTGTCTTTTTCCTTCAGCTGAGTCACTGACGGGCAGAGGCCGCTATATGAAGCGGATTCGTTACCATGGCAAAGGCATGTTTGGCATCATGAAAATCGTCAGGTGCCATTACTTTGTGAAGTTGGTGGAAGGCCCTCCTCCTCCTCCAGAGCCACCAAGGACTGGTTTTGACCAAGCAAAAGAATACGTGCAGCAGCTGCGAAGTAGAACGCTTGTAAATACACTGTAACAAACTTTTGTGACTATACAGATTTTTCTTGTTTGACAATGTAATTATATAAAAGAATAATTAAAATCATGTTTTAGTTATATCTTTGGTGCTGCTGGGGCTGGATGATGCAAGAGTGATCATAAGCTTTTTTCTTATTTGTCAAGCCATAGGTATGGAAAAATCTTGGAAAATCAGCAACAGATGTTACTTTTTCTGAGTTACCTGGACCACAGCATTCATGCTCTACCCTGGACTGTCAAATCTAGAACATATGGTGCCGTTGCTTCTAAGGGAATGTGTTGTCCTCAGATTCATGCAGCTGTCTCTTTACTATGTATGGTTGGGTCTTTTATTGTAAAAATATGTGTTTGACAGTCATGTTGCAAGTTCAAGGCTTGGACTAAAATTACTAAAATTTGACATCTTAAGGAAGCTACAACAGTGGAACGAAACAAGCAACAATAATAGTTGAGATTATCAGGCATCAGTTTATCGTTTCTTTATCTGGGTTGTAATGGTCTTTCCTTACAGCCTCTGTTGTGCATCTTAGGCATTGTGTCTGGGAGTGGGGAATAAAAAAAATCATTTAAAGTTCAGGTCGGTAGGTGGCAATGTTTAGTTTGTCAGAGAGAGAAGCGGCAGTGAAAGCTTACAGCATGTTGATCTTGATTCTGACCATGGCATTAATAGTCTGATACGCGCATGGAGCTCAGGCTGTTCTCTGTGGAAACTCAGTGTGGGTAACGGGCACAATATGGAGAAAAGCTTGTCTTGGTGAAGAGTGAACTAATTATTCTGCACTGCCTGGAAACGAATTGCTTTTGTAATGTTGAGGCAAGTAAAATGCTCAATGGATTTAATATGGAATGGCTTGTTGCATATACAAATCAGACTTTCAGTTCTCTGAAAACAATCCCATTTTTATCATTACTTTGAAGAGAAAAAGACTGAGGTCGGCAGGGGTAATCTCATTTCACCCAGTGAAACTTTCAACTCAGATGGCCAGAGATCATGAACATCAGCATAAAAAGAGAATGAGTAGTTGCTTGTTTATGCAAATGTCTGATATTTAGACCTTTCTTTTCCATTCTGCGATCATTAGAATGGGAGATAGATTGCTTACTTCATGTGGGTCTTTTTACCACACCAACTAGTGGTAGTCTTTTTGCATGTGTTTACTTTGATTAGCACTTGAGTGATGGCAGAGGGACAGTTCCTATAAGGAAACAAATGATCCTTGTCTTATTGAAGGTGGCGTACAGCTGGTTCTTTTGGCTACCAAAGAAAGGGTCTCATGATCTTGAAGAGTGTTAGGGGACTGTGAGGTTACACAAGAAGTACATGCATGGCTCAGTACCTTTAATGGATGCTTATTTGCAGTCTGTTTTTCTGCAGTGCATTTACAGACACATTACTTGCTTTAAAGCCATGATTTAGTAACTTTTGTCTGAAAGGTATGTTCCTGATAAAACTCTCTATCTCTGTAGTCCCTGATGTGTGTTTGAAGAACTGTTTTTGGTGTGCTATGATAAACAGCTGTGCTTTGCTGTGCCAGCTGCTGTTAAACTCTTTTGTCATACTGAATCTCTTAGAAGTTGTAGCAAACTTGAATGACTTCATCTTTTGAGGGTCAGTGATCTGGAGAAGGCTAAGGAATCGCAAAGCAATCCAAGCTTAGTAAGTTCTTGTCATCTAACCACATAAAACCTGTCTTCCAGATGTTTTATTTTAGTACCTGTTTCTTCCTGCATGATGTAGATTTCCCTTCGGATCCTTTCCAGACCTCCAGACAAGGCTGTATCCTTATAGATATTATTGCTCTAGTTACAAATCTGCAGATGGGGAGAGAAATGAGAACATCACTGATGTCTTTTTTTCAGCTTCTTTATGATGCAGCAGGTGGCCCTGACACTCCTTTAAACAAACAGACCTGGGCTTTTAAAATTTTTCAGTCAAAAAGCAAGGTTGTTGCTTGTCATTCTTGTTTTCTTTCTCAAAACAGTAAGTAGGAAGACTCTTTGTGACATGCTTTTCAGCATTCCTCCTATTTCCTTAGTACCCTTTTCTGCTGCCTTAAAGATGTGTAACCCATAGTGGACCTTTCCGGTGTTGGCTGAGAAAGTTCCACAGCTGTGGTTGTAACAGTACAATGATGGGAGATTTGGTGAGACGAAGGGCTTGAGCTGCCTTCATCCCTACCTTTCACTGGTGGGCTGGTAAGAGTGTCTGAAGTGGTTTCTGTGATAGGTGCCTCAGAATGTTGGTATGGGAACCTGCCTGACCCTTTTTAAAATTCAGAAGATCTAGTGATAAAGCTTTATGCTGTCAATTCTATATATAAATAAAACTTTGGGGTTTTGATTCTGCTGTGCTTTCCTGATAACTAGTACATCCACACTTAGATATTTGATATGGATTCAGACAGAAAATTCCATGCTAACTGCAACAAGTATTTAGCAGAAGATGATCACTTATTACTGTGGTCTCCAATAAAAGAACATTCTTAAATGAGCCATCACCAGAAGGGAGGGGGAGAGGCACCTACGCCTCTACTTCATGCTAATTTTATTAATAATGTTTGGGGGCACTGTAAACTTGCCACTTATGTATGTGCTGATGTTACAGAAGTTTGAGAAGGAGCAAGTATGTGTGAAGGTATGAGGCTACAGGGAAATCTGAAGAGAGCAGAACTGTGAGCTGTGCTCAGAAATGTGAGATTTAATTGAGGAAAATTTAAAAACCTGCTGCTGGGCTTGTTCATAAACATTTTAAAGTATTTGGTGAGAAAGTCAAAGTGCTTTTGTGAGACAGCTTGATGTCTTTTTCCATGTGTTTTTTTCCTTTCTGAAACCCCTGGGCAGTTATTGAGGAGGTACTTCATCAAAGGCAGACTTGGGAAAGACTCATTAATATGATTATAAAGCGATCATCAGCCTTTTTGAAAACATGGAAGATACAGGAGGATGGATATGTATGAGTGTGATGGACAATGACTGGACAGTTAGACCCCCCTGATTCTGGTCAGGTCTGTACTGGAATATGCTGTGCTGAGATGGACAATGTTAGGACTTGGGTGGTACCTGGGCATGGGCAGCCACGTTCTGCCCAGTGCTTCAGCTGTGTTGCTGTACCTGGCATGAACTTGCCTAGACCAGGGTCACACAGTGCAAATCTTCTAAATCCTCTAATTACTCTTCTTTGCACAAATGGGAGGTGTATGACAGTACTGCTGCCCTGCATTGCAGAGATGCTTGGGAAATCCTTCAGTCACTGGAGTGAAGGAACAAGAGGAATCACTGTTTCCTTTCTGTCAGCCCCTATGAAAATCTACTGTGGGATGCTGGAAGGACATTTGCAAACAGAATTCTCCTTTACTTAAAAATAAGGTTACTCCTAATATCCTCAATGAACCTTCCCCATTTCTAGCTTTTCAAAGAACAAGCCTTTATTGCTGAATGACATCTATCCAGCTGCACTTCAGCCATGTAATTTGAAATAATTGCTAATTAAACAAAATAAGAGACTGTAACAGCAATAATAATCACAGAAGTTACTGTTTGCTGCAGCCTTACCTAGGGAAAATAACTTGAAAGGAGGGGAAAGTTTCAGGAACTGACTTCTGAGTACTTAAACCGAAGTAAGGAGCAAGATACCTCTTGGGACTAGTCAGCAAGCGCAGAGCTAATTTTGTATTTGCTCTGTAATGTCAACACTTCTTGTTACAAGGAGGTTGTGCACTAATACGGAGGGCAGGCTGCCATTGAAGAGAATGAACCAAGGAGGGTGTAACTTTACGTGGCACAAATTAGGCATCCACCTCAGAGCATTAGCTGAGGAAATTAATCTGGAAGTCTGTGATACACTTGGACAGACCATTCTTGAAACTAAAGCCAGATGCTCTTGGGTCAGAGCATCTGAATAACTAAAGCATCTGTGGGTGCTACTTCTGTGTTTTGCACAGTAGTACAGCCATCAAGTTTTGTGTGGTAAAATTAATTTTGTCATATGTGAACCTTGACTGACTCCCTTTTTCTGTCCTCCAAAAATAATGAAATGGAGGCTTAAACCAGAGTTGTGTACATGTGATATCTTTATTTTAAATTAGCTTGGAGTTGGGACCATTGTAAATCCTGCATCAAGTCACCTGTGTCTTTGTCTACCAATATTGGAAATCTGGCCACCCCTCTGGTAGCCTGTACTAATGCTATGCTATTCTCCCTGTGGAAGCTTCTTGCAAAGGCCAGCCTGGGTCTCCCAAGCTGTACTCTGTTGTCCTTGTCCTATTGCCTGGTGCTACTGAGAAGTGGTTAACTCTATGAAATTGTAACTCTCCTGTTACTTTCAGATCACCCTGCTAATCACCTTTTTGGCAGGATGAACAACCTCTCATAAATCTAATTCCCTAGCTCTCTCCAGTTTCCCCATCTCTGTTGCAGTGGGGGACCTAAAACCAGACTCTGTATTCCAGGTATAGCTCCACCAGCACTGATGGGAGGGAGATAACTTCCCTCAGCCTGCTGGCCATGCTTTTAATGGAGCCAGGTATGCAGTTTGCTGTATCTGTGGTGAGAGCATGTTGTTGGCTCACATTCAGCCTGATGTTCATGCAACTCCCAGGTTCTTTTTGGGTCACTCATCAGAATTGCAGTAAGTACCTGTGGCACCTGTGTTCCAGCTCTCATTGCTATTCTGTATACACTAATGAGGTCTTCTTTACCACTAGGAAATTGTTCTGGTTTATGGATGATAATTTTCTTTCCAGTAGAAAAGTTGCAAAATAGTTTTTTGGCTTCTGTTACTAATCAAACTCTTAGGCGAGCTAAGAGTGGAGTGCATGCTGTTGAGGTAAACTCCCATCAATGCATGCAGGTAATAAGCAGTGAAATGTGTCTACATCTCTCCTATACCTCCTTCAGAGCAGGAAAGACAAACATAGGTTTGTAAGCTAGCCATGTAAATGAAAACTTTAATTAAATGAGAACAGAGTGGACTGTGAGGTGCACTGCACTGGGCCATTAAAGGACTGCTGTCTGAAACCAG